GAGTAGCTGGAAGCTAATTTGTTGGAGGCTACTCCAAACCGTCTCCCATATACTTTCTTGTCACTTGATCGCAGTCTTTCTTTTGCTGAATTGACTTGCAGAATACAATCCGCATAAACGAGAACACATTAACGCGCTCATGTTCCTTGTCAATACAGATGGTTGTGTCAACGAGACACAGCAGATACAGGTAATCCATCCTCTGGATCCAGCTGAGTTTCAGGAGAGCAAAGTTCGCTTTTGGTCCGCGATTAACCCTCTATTCACCACCTTGGACGGACCACGTTGCATCGCAACTGACCGGCATGTGATCCCTCTATGAGGGAGATTGGTGGATTCCACCTATATTGAATGATATCCATTAATTATTTGCACACCCGGGTTATCTAAACTGAGCAAGAGTTCGAATTTTTTACTCAGAATTTCGGCAGCGAGTAAACATGTGGCCCACTTTAGATCCTGGCTCATCACTCATGGTTAGGATTTTTCCAAGCATCCTTAAGAAGTTCTTTAAAACAGCAGTGAATATCGGAACTCTCTAGTTCCATAACTTTGTTTCCGAAAGAATTTAGAAAGATTTCCGAATAATTACTTTAACCATATTTTATATGGTATGCAGGTAATATGTTCTTAAAATACGCCAATTCAATTCGTTCTAGGAAACCATCGCACGTTTGGACTCGACGATCTACAAATGTTTTACCACTTCGATCGATATGGATTCGAGCGCATGGCCTCCAGTGCAAAGTGTACTTGTATGGATCGATAAATCTATTATTCTATTGGTGGTTCTTTGTATAGAGGAATTTTACATAATTATTGGAAAGAATACTTAAGTTCAGTCATCGAAATATCAAAGAAAAATCAGCTCATTTCTATATAGACCGTACTAGATTTTGGTGCGAATACGGACCGACGTTACCTACTTGGATACTTGGATGACCTGTCCTCGGCATTGGTTTCTCTCAGGTGAGGAGCCTGGTGGAAACGTTGCACTCCTCCTCAGCTTGGGAGGCCCTGCTTGAGGATAAATCCCTCGCTTTACATCGCAGCCCAACCAGGAACACCTCCCAGCTACGATGAGGCGGAAAACCGTTGGGAGGGAGCGGCGTTAATTTGTTGTTTTCCGACTAAGAAGGTACTGTGTGCTTCTTTGTTATCATTTGTAAACACTACAATTCAACTTTAAGAGAAAAGCAAACATCACTAAAGCTATGCGTTAAAAATGAGGACTACTTCCATAAGAATACAGAGAGATAAGAAAAACTAGGAACTTCAGTTGTGTTTTGAACCCGCTTCCAATTTCGCTCATGTCTTCGTGTCCTTGTGGTTATATTCCACTTGGTGCTTGGATAAGTACTTGGATGGTCCGCCTTCACTGGTTGTGCGATCTTCAGCACGATTCCATCGTTGCGGAGTTTCGCTGGTCTAGCCATTGTGGTTTCCTGGAGTCCAAAAGTTAACTAGGCCAAATTCGTCTCCAAATCGTCACCACCACATGCAGTCGCGGCCGTTGTAGATCAGATTGCCATCATGCGTTTTGATACTGCGACGGTGGTGCATCTTGGTATTGGTTTTCTCTTAGCTGGACTTCCTGATAGAAACGCTGCACTCCTCCTCAGCTTGGGAGGCCCTGTTGGTAGGATGAATCCTCCGCTGCACATATAAGCCCAAATTCAGGTAGACCTCCCAATCACGATGATACAATAAGCCGTTAGGAGGATTCCACAAAGTAACCTACCGCAAAAAAGAAAGGGCGGTGCATAAAAAGTTAAAACATGAAGGCTACTTCGTTTTTATTGGACATCTGCTTTGTCTTTCCTTCCTAAACCATTCTAACCAAATTTGAAAACTTGAGTAAAAAGGTTATGACGTCAAAGGTTCTCTCGTATGTCTTAATTTACTAGCATTATCAATTCGAAAGCAGAAGTGTTTTTTTTCATGGAAAAATCACACTGGAACCGGGTAGTATACAGGTCCATACATACCATTTTCCTAATTGTTCTTTCAATGTCTTTCGCTTTTGATTTTACCCAAGGAGCATCGCTTCTCACAATTTCGATTGATACTTCATTATCATTTACTGCTACACGTATTGGTGAACACTACACGTTTTCAAGTACAACTAAAAATGTAATATTTACCTATGACACAAGAAGATACAATAGAAACACGTGCTACAGAACAATACAGTACAGACTAACTAGTCATAGTACAAGCATTCTCAAGCAGTTGTTCTTCTTTACTATCATGTAAACATTCTGCATCTAAGTGTGGAAGCTCGCAGCTAAGATGACGTACCTCGCAGAAACTGTTCAGTACCAAAAATTTCCCGACTCCCCGTCCAAAGTGAAAAAACGCCGTCGAGATACAAAGATGGATTTTTTCGAACTTTAGCTAGTTTGCCGTATGAATTGATTCGGAGTTAGTATGATATCATGCCATCCAGAAGAAATCATCGGTGCAAATATTCTAATAGGGCATAGTTATTATCCTAACAAACGGAATGGTTATGCTCTTGGGCTGGGCTCGACATTCGGTATGGATGTCTTCAGGGTTCTTAACTGCGCGAACAGTTTACTAGTCAATCTCTGACGATGGTTTGTTCAGGAGCTACTGACGAAGAATTACTATCAGGATGTTAAGAATACAATTATAGACGAAAACTTCTATAGCAGCTCTATAGGTTTAGGAATCTCACTTAGATTTCCGATTAATCCAAGGAAATATGGTGATTTCTTAAGTTGCTCACTTACGAACAATGAAATGAGAATCGAAACAACTTAGAATGAAAAGATTTCACTTTTGTTTCAAGTTTGACAATGTTACATGGAGATTTGTTAGCTTACTACCTATTTATAGTTACTTAGTTTAATCTCTGTTTAGAGTTCTTTTTGATCAACAGCACAGAGAAACATTAAAGTAACGTAGGAAAACGTGGGCATAACTAACGTAAATGACACTGGCCATGAAAAATCGTAGTGTAGATGGTGAGAATTTCACGTCAGCCACCATCGTGTTCAGATAGGAGTTTGAAGGCCGGCCTGTGAAACTGCGATGAATACATTTTCGTCTTCTTCGTCCAAGTTAGTATTGCTCGTTATCGCTAAAAGAATGAATACACAATTCGGTAGGCTTTACGTGATGACGAAGTCTGAGAGCGTCGGGGAGAAAAACACTCTCGTAACCCATGGTTGGTTGAGGTATAAGGGTTGCATCAATCTTCTTCGCCATCCCAAATCAAACAGTTTCTAACCAATCTTTACAAAACGGTAATCAATAAAGAAATAGTGAAAGATAAAGCGTCCGGGATCAGTCAATCTCTGAGGGGTGTTCCACGTATTCGACTTGATCAAGTATCGTATAGGTGATTGAAGGCCTATATACCATCCTAATTAACGAGTTCCACTGGTTTGCTAGATCAGTGTTTTACCCTCCAAAACAAGTCTGTCACCATTTTGACGACCATGAAGGAATGAAAAGCATGGTGAGTCTGGGATACAGGATCTAACCAACCACCACATGTGTATTATTGGCAACCTCTAGCCACGACGTTGCACTCTGCTCAAGAGAAAGTGGAACCAAATAACGCCAAATTTATTTATATCAAACGTTATCTCCACGATCGGAATCTCCTAACTATCCTAACTACACTTCTTGAGAATTTCGCATTGGAATGTGCATAGAAACAAAGAGAATAGAAGACATTCTTTTCAAACGAATCGATAAGGAAAGATTTAATTTAGTTAGAATTTAATATGGGAATATGAATGAAGATGAGGATCCTATGGTCAGCAGGTAGCAAAAACTTGTAGTTTAAAATGATTTGTGATTAAATAGCTGCGCTTTACTTTTGATGACTACGACGATTCACCAAGTGGTGGAAGAAGAGTTATACGTAGACAAAATTACCGCCTACATACAACGTCGATGAATTCAGATGTTCTCTGGGTTTGTTCTGGGTTAAATTAATTTACACCTTCTTTATATACCTTAATATTATTTATATATAAATATGACGATGAGAATGCTTGTGTGTCACTTCGATTATGCACGTTTATAAGGCCAGAAGATTAGAATCAGTTGATGGAGAAGCACGTGAGAGTCGCTCCCGGGCTGACGTCCAACAAATAGGACTCACGTCATAAAGTCTGATAAGCTATCTGTACGTATAATCAGAAACCAGAACACAGCACGGAGAGAAGAGATACGAGTGGGAAATTTATTTCTGGAAACAGAGAAGCCTGTAGAAAAATCGTTATGATTCTCAATTTACCACTGCGAACGAAGCTCACTGAACAGCTTCGTTACGAGGCACAGATGAACGAAGGCATTAAAAAAGAATAAAGGATAAGGATGTCTGCGTTGAGCAGTTTCTGAGGGATACGTTTGACTTCATTAAACATCGTTAGAGATGACTGAATCCATATCTGGCCCATACAATGACTCGCTGCTGCTTGCCGATGTACCGAGCTAGTGCTGACATCCTCCCAAACAAATCTTCCACCAGTCCGAAGAAAAAGGAGGCTGGCTGAGCCTGAGGCATAGAGTCTCTAACCGCTGTGCGACACGCGCCCAGTGGAGGAATGGAGATGTTCCAGGAGATAATGTCAAAATATTTGCAACCGAACTGTAACAGTGAGATCTCATTGACACATCATCCACGTTTTAACAATAATACAGAGGATAACAGTTGGAAACTAAAAAGCTAGCTTTGGTTGTTTGCTGGATCTTAAAAATTCTTAAAGCCATGGTAATGCCGTGAATGCAAAATCAGGATTTGCAAAACATAATTTAACTTCACCCTCGCTTTCCATGTTAATCTTATACAGCAAGTTATTTTGGAAAAGTAGGCGTGACAGCACCAACTGTGAGCATGGTTTCACATCGTGAAATTTCATCGTCAGTGAGATGGTTCGCAAAACTCACAACCGCTTCTTCCCGGTCCCGACGACTGTTGTGACAATGGAGAAGGGCGCTGACCTTGCGAAATGGTTTGCCTAAAGATCAAACAGAAGTATAGTTTGTCTTATCCTATCCGATAACAAAGGGACTTGCATTAACGTTCGGTCACGATGGAAATCTTCGCTCATTTTACGATGACTGGTCATGTTGAGGTGACGAATAATTTTCGGATTGTAACATTTTGGATCCGAAACCATGCGTACCAAGAAGGACCTAAAGGACAGGATTCCTTCAATGAGTAGTATTTTCTCTTCTTTATAATTTCTTTCCACTATTTTCTATCATGCACTGAATGTAAACGAACACTCTCAGTGATAGCGTATTTATGTTAGCATATCAACGATATTCTATCCTTCCATGATTCGCTATTATTATCACAAAGTGCCTTCTGATTGGTGTCTGATCGATACGTCTTACTACTTTAGATACGATTTGTAGACTATGAAAGAACTGGAGTAACTCAAGAAGCGAAAATTCCAGAACAATACAGTAGATGAGACAAGGGTGAAGAAAAGAAAAGTCGGCGACAACAAAATCCTTGCACCTATTAGGAGATTAGAAAGCGGCTCTTCGTGACAACACAAGCACGACACAAGCAAAACTGACCGCCTCTTCGCTAAAGTCTCATTTTGCTTTTGCGCTATTAGTTCCTCTTTTGTCAGCTGTCCTTCCGTAATTGACCTCTCTGTTGCAATATCTTCAACCTGAAAAAAATATACATATCATATAACGAAGTCCTTATATATCGCAACAACAATAATGAACCAAGGTCACGCTATAGGTCTCGTGTTACCACTTTCATCAGAGTCATGAGATTTGAATGGAATAAATCTTCCATTGTTTATCCGTAGCGTGATCAAATGAAACTGGACATTGAAATCATTGCTCCGTTCCAGACCAGCTAATATTAATTCTACAGTTACAGGATGGTCTGCTGCCATGAATACGTATTTTTCGAAAGTAGTCGAGGACCGGGTTGTATCTTGGTACCCGGTGATACCGCTTCATTCCAGCAGAGTAAAAATCGTCTTCTGCAAAGGGCAGTGTTGGGTGAGGCTACTTCACAAATTGTGTTACACTTTATTCGATTCGATTCGATAAAACTACAGTTAAATCCAACGTAGCGAGAAGAAACACCAGCTATAGATAAAAAAGATAAAGCTATTGGCGTTGATTAAACCCTGAGGGTTGCGTCATGCATTCGACTTCAGTACCGTTGGAGGTGACTAAATGCATATCTGGCCTTTGCAATGACTCGCGGTGTCCTACCTATGCATCGAACCAGCTATCCTCCCAGACAAGTCTGGTACCAATTTGCCGACCCCGGAGGGAAGGAGGGCTTGGTGGGCCATGGGCGCGAGGATCGATCCAACGCGTGTGTCACGTCGCATTGGCGCCTCCAACCACTGCGCCACAGCTATGGATAGTCGACTGGAATCACCGTAGCTCTCTGGTGAAGGCTAGCCTGCCGAAACGTTAGCCATAGAGGAAATTTGTAGAAATACTGAGTAAACTTGTACAACATACACAGGATTCCTCTTTCTGTTTGTTAAGTGGTCAGAATGTAAACAACAAAATAATTGACAGCCAGAAAAGATAACAAAGACAACGAACTATAAACTGAATCTCTATTTTACATCATTCACACCGCTGTCTTCAAAAGCAGCGGGTCACACTGTCCAGAAGGTCCACACCACACTATCTATGGGAAGGGCTTGCATCGTGGTATCTATGATTGCTAAGAAAATAGAAGTTGGTAATGATAAAACTGTTGAATATGCTTGGCGCCATAAGCACTTCGCGAAGACAAAATTTGGAAATGGAACTTAGCAGCCTTTACGCCTCTCAAAGAGCAGAAACTTTAAAATTACAAGTACAGTCCAACTTGGCTAACTTTTAAATCTAGTAGCACTCCTGATAATTTGCCGTGTAGTTGAAACGAAGGATAAATGACATCTCAAATATGTTAAATAATTTATAGGCCATTTCGTAAAGCCCTTAATTTCTGCTTTTAGAAACTCTACTGGCGCAATGGATATCAATCGAAACCATGAAGTTCATACTTTCACTGGACATCCAATAATACACAGAGGAAAGCAAAAGTTAAGGAAATCACTAAAGAGAAAGTCGAACATGGTGAAAATAGCTTCTAGCGAATCTAATGACAAAGTAGGAATACTCGCTTGTAGATCGTAGTAGCAGTGGTTCTTGTGATTTCTAGATATTATAGCTACAGGCATTATCCATGTGCTATGGCTGCGATGACCACGAGAAAAGAACACGAACAAAAAATATGATGAGGCTTACGGGACCCGCGAAAGCATGCAGGTAATTTAAACATAAGAAAACTCTGTAATAGGAAACAACACAGAAAGAGAAATGAATACCTTGATTGGAGCATCGACGTCGTAGCCTTCCTCCTCGAGCTGCTCGGCCTCATGATCCTCTATGATTGATAGAGAAGATTCCTCGTCTGGAACGCGGAAAAGTAATAAATCTATTGATAGAGACCAATAAATATATTACCAAGACTGCAATTTGATCTCCCTGGCGAAAACCCCAGAAAGTCGATAAAACGCGAATTTAAGCGCGCTGAAAGTGCCTACGGTGCGGTACAATACCCACGGATGTGTTGCGGTAATGTGGATATCACGAGTAACAGCAGAGCTGACGAATTATTCAGAAAAAGATCGAAAAACCGCTAAAATGATGGAAAATAGCCGAAGCCTCGGAACGACGCACTGAGCCTGAGCGTTACGGAAAGCGTATGCGCCAAAATCTCGAAAATTCGCCGAAACATCCAAAAATCGCCAGAACCTCAAAAAGTTGCCGGATCTTCAAAACTCGCAGTCTGAGCCTTAGCCTAAGCCTAAGCCTAAGCCAACTTATTATGTACAATGTATGAGTGTAAAAACTACTAAAATAGACATAATATCGATTCCAAAACATTTTCAAATGCTGCCACCAGTTCTTTTCATGCTAAGCCGAAGCAAAACATAATAAATACTAGTATGCATTCGATTCAAAAACATGGAGGCAGAGCAAGCAAAGTTATCTACACTGCCATCAGGTTGAAAGCCACCGAGTCTTTTAATTTCCAAAAAAGAGCTATCGTCTGTTTTCGCAAAACAACTGTTCCCTCCACGACCGATAGTTATGCGCCTGCGCCCAACGGAGTGGCGCCAAATGCTGCCACGAATGTGTTAGCCAAAGTATCAACTTATCGTCAATTCTGTTGTCTACGATAAACGATGAAAAATGTCGAAAAAATGATTGTACAACTGCAATGATGCCGAGTTATCTGCAAAACCTGAATCCCAGGCTAGATTCGAACACGCGATTACCTTTCCGGTGCTCACCTGTCACCCGTTGCACCATTGACAACCCTTGCCTTGCCTTTCTGTTGGCCGGTTTTTTATCCTAATTGTGCCATCGGAAATCATTCGTCAACGGGACTGATCTCAGGACTACAAATAAGCATAAAACCCAATTGAGCTTAGGCTGCAGTCGAAATCACAATGTATAAATTTCTATCTATTACCTACTCACTATTAAGAATAGTCAGTAAATAAACAGTTAAACGAAACAATTGCACTTTGCTCTATTATTAAGCTGATAAATTTGGGTTAAAATTTTTAGATATTAAAAGAATGATTGTAGTTTAATACGGCGATTAGCGAAGATAAAGGATAGAGCTCTCAGCGTCGATCAATCCCTTAGAGATGCGCCATGCATTCGACTTCATTAAGCATCGTTTGGAGGTGACTGAATGCATATCTTACCTTTACAATGACTCGCGGTGTCCTACCGATGTATCGAGCCAGTTATCCTCCTAGACAAGTCTGGTACCAATTTGTCGACCTCGGAGGGATGGAGGGCTTGGTGGGCCATGGGCGCTGGGATCGATTCCACGTGTGTGTCGCAGCGGCGTCTACAACCACTGCACCACACGCGCCCATATTAGCGAAGATATGGTGGTTAATTTCCGTATTCTTGTGATTGTTTCATTAATCCGTCCCCATTTTCCAAACGTTTTTTTTTTCAATTAAGGCTTATCTGTGTTAAACATTATGTACTATTGGAAATCTATCTTTTTCTTATTCTGATAAAAGCCATGAACGTAACATACCATCATATAAAGGTATATTGTCGTGTTTTAAGTGTTCCGATTTCGGTGGTGCCTTTTTCCCGCACAACTCCTTTAGTTACACTTTTGAATAAACAAGACCTGAGAGGGGAACCATTTGATAAATAATAAAACAAGGTGAGCTCGCACCAATATCAGGAGAGACCTGCTGGGTGTCAGCCGAGGTTCGAACCCTGTTGAGAAAATAAGAGACATGAAGTAACATAAGTAGATAAAAACAAAATTCTATTTCATTGAGTAGAGAACAAGTAGATAAAAAAGAGGTTGAGAAAGATATTGTGAGATCAGTGATTTATGATATATTGATGGAAAAACTGGTGCTTTTTTGTCTTATTTGACCCAACGTAATCCATATTGTGCCAATCCTAACACTTCTCAACCCGGTTCGCTTTCTGACATCCATATTCGACAGAGGTTTTCGAACTTTTCGTTTTTGGAATAGGCCGTTGCTTGAGCATTTTTGGTTCTCCTTGTGAATGTCGTTGAATTCTGGTCGAGCTTATTCTCGTTGGAAACGTGAGATAGTCGTTCTAGAGTGCTGCCAGAACTTCAATACAGGCAATCGTCCAAATTTGTAGGTTGTCGTCCCAGACTGGTATGGCAATCTGGTACTAATTTACAGACTCCCGAGGGATGGAGATTATGCTACACCGGAGTGGTGGAGTTAAACAAACACCTCGGCCGCGTTAGTTGGACAGCATCCTTACCACTGGGCTACCCATGCTCTTAAAACGAATAGGCGCTTTAGTTTTACAACTACGACTAGTATAAATTCAGCCACTCCACAGAAGAGCTCTGTTGGCGAAGAAGCGAAAAACAGTATAACAAGCACATATGTGGTAGCGGCGCATCACTACAATATATTGGATTTTCAGTGGGATTTCTTCGAAAATTAGAGCCATTGTAAATTATATCACTACTACTCCACTTACGCAGTGTGTGCTGAGCAGCCTGGCTGATTATACTGTACGCCTTGTCAATGTCATTGTCGGTTGCATTCTCGGCGCACACGCAGAATCTTACCACAAAGCGATTGTTCAGAGAAGCCGGTACCTATAAGATAAACTCTTCCTCTGTTCACTTTTTACTTATTCACTCTTTTACTTTTACATTTCTAGAATGTGTGTATTCTCTAAGCAACTTACCATATGGATTCGCCCTGAACTGTTGAGACGCATAAGCAACTGCTGATTGCGATCGTCACTACCCTGAGCTTTTTGTTAATGTGAACTACAAAAAACGTCCCTTCAAAGTGGAGAAGCACATATCAATATAAGCACTGACTCTCATCCGAAAGCAGACGAGACCCATAATGACTTCACCAACAATTTCGAACATTGGGTCAGCTTGTAAAAGCGCCTCCATTCTTTTGGCAAGCCGAACATGCTTAAAAACGTTATAAGTGCTGTAAAAATCCAAACTTAGTCTCAATTTGAGGCCGATTTCAAAATGAAATATCCGAAAAAAAAAGAAATAAAATAGGAGCGGATTCAAAAAATTCTACAAGCGTATTAAATATCAGCCAACCTCCCGAATGTATGCTTGTAATCCTTCCACACCGTACGCTCGGATCACAAACCACAACTTCAGTGAGCGAAAACGCCTGCTCAAAGGAATTCCCCAGTGACGGTAATCGATAGACTTTTCTGAAAGTTTTCATGAAATCAGCTCTATGAGTTTATTTAAGTTATAAAACTTTTACAGTACTTCTATAAAAGTCCCATCTCTTGCACATATATATATATATATATATATATATATACATATACATGTATACGTTAATATGTATATGTTTATAAAATAAGTCTACATATGCAACTATGTGTGTACATATTCACATATATATGTATCCATACATATACATGTATATATACATAAGTATGCACGCATAATAATTTGTTCTATGTAACCCGCTTTCACATATTGTGCAAATGTTAGCGCTTCCTTCATTTAGTTCGTTGTGTTGTACCCTCATCCACGAAGGTATTCTGATTTTGAATGCGGATTCGGCTGCTACTTGTTAGTGTTCTTAGATCTTAATCACAGGCGATCAAGGTCTTTAGTGGACCAAAAGACGTCTTCTTCCCAGAAAAGTGTGGCACTCACTTGTCGTTACCGCCGTGACGGAGACATGATTAGCTCGGTGAGTGATTCAATCAACAACCATGTATACATTGCACGGTAAGAATAAAGAATGAGAAGTTCGACGTCGATCAATCCCTAAGGGAGGCACGGCGCACTCGACTTCGTCGAGCATCGTTAGAGGTCCCTAAACGCATATCTGTCCTATGCAATGACTTGCGGTGAACTACCAATATATCGAATCAGTGCTGGCATCTTCCCAGAAAAGCTTGGTACGAATCCACCGATCCTAAAGGCCTGGTGAGATCGAGGCTCGAGGTCAAACCAGCAATAATGTGTGTATCGTAGAACGCCTCAAACCACTGCGCTGTACGCGTCCCATTATACACCATCTCCAACTAGTTTTTTTTCATGATATATACATATATATATATATAAAATGACGTATGGCGCAGTGGTCGGAGGCGCCTTGTGATATGTCACAGGCTCGATGGGTCGGTAGACCACCACGAATCATTGTAAGTGCCAGATATGCACCCAATCACCACGGAACGATCCTTAATGAAGGCGAATGTACGGTGCATTCCTTAGGGATTGATCAATTCCGAGAACTTTATCTTTATCTTTTATTTATGTATATATATATATATATATTCGTATATATATATGTATACATATGTAACTTCAACAGTCTGTCCTAATAGAGACCCTTGCGCATTTAAATCTTTAGTAATATGCAACGTTGTGCTCATATATTGCTAGTAAATACGTTCTATATTTCTATTCACGAGAATCCTCCCAATAGTTTACGGCATCGTCGTAGCTGGGAGGTGTTCCTGAGCGTCGGACAGCGATGTATAGCGGGGGGATTCGTCTCCCCGGCAGGGTCTCCCAAGCTAAGAAGGAGTCCGGCGTTTCCATCAGGAAGCTTATTTAAGAGTAAACCAATACGAGGATCTGCCACCGTCCTGGTATCAAAGTCGCATGGTAGCAAATCTACCTCTGATCCACAAGGGTTGCGACTGCCTGTCGTGGTGACTTGGGGCATACTTTGGCCAGGCTGACATCGGTGTTCCCGAGAACCACAATGGCTTAACCAGCAAATCTCCCATAAATGGTGATTATGCTGGAGACCGCACAACCAGTGAGGATGGCCCGTTTAAGTATCAAGTAACTAAGTAAAGAAGAATATCCCAATCTCAAGTATCACTATCACTATTACCCTGGGAAAGCGTTGGTCTAAAAGGAGGTGTCAGACGTCTAATTCACAACGATTAAGAACTACATGTAGCTACTGTCTCACAAAGCCCTGACAAAGCTACTTTTGGATTTGAGAGAGAAACTCTTGCTCAACCATCAAAATACCAGTCAAGTGGAAATCGTGCTGAAGGTCGCAAATTCTCGAATATACATCTCATAAGTGTTCAGGGAAGTAGTCTTGCAAGTACGACAAAACAGTTTTTTCAAGCAAATCTGATAGTTGTAAGGGCGCTGTTGTAAAATAAGGGCTTCACCAGCTAAATAAATATTTGCGGTTTTTGAGTCGTTGCCGTTGATGCAAAAATGCGAGAAAAAATTGTAGGAATGCGAAAACAGATATTAAGAAAAGCAGAAAGAAAAGTGAACCGTACCCATCCAACTGTGTTGAAGATAGAGTGGATCCACAGCCAGAGCCTCAGTCAGCTTGAAGCGATCCTTCACCCTATCGATACAGTTATCAATTTGAAAAATTTTAACCACTGGAATATTCTATCCTGAGCTTGTCCTAAATTCAAATGCTGGCAGAATGGTGCACATTTTGTGCGCATCGATCGTAACTCTCAAAACTACTACTTGTTGACATGTGTACGTCTAATGAAGTAGATTTGAAGAACGTTCATGCAAAACTCGACAGTTATTAAGATTTAGCGAATGAGCAAGTGAATTTGGAATGATTTGTCTTTATAGAGCAACAAGCAGTTGTTTTGTGAAATTCTAGAACTACTACATGATGAAAAATTGAGCGTTCAAGGGTTTTGCCACACAAAAACGCGTTGGCCATCATAAGAGGACGCGATAGAAGCGAGAGAAGAAGCTGCTAAGAAATCAGGATGTCTAGTTTTTAAAATTTATTAGTAGGGTTTCAAAACTAGAGAATAGTAAAACAATTGTGTTCCTACTGACCACATAGTGCTACAGTCAAAGTTAACGAGCATCCATTTATTGGGGTTCGTGTTGAACGACATGGCGTACTCAATGCCGTTCAACAAGTAACGGAATTCTGGACAAATCATCGCCGATCCGGCATAAGCAGCATCCACATGTAGCCATAGTCTAAAATCCATCGTTACTATTTAATATGCTTACAAATAGAAAAACGGAGATTCAGAGTTGCACTTAGCACCAATACCAGTGTCGATTCTATTTCGATTTCGCAAAATGCTATTTGTTCCGGTTTATTTTTCTGAACTAAAAGTGACAAAAAATTGTTTACGCATGCTATAAAATATTTTGTAGTTTGGTAGTTGAACAAAGCACTTGGTAGTTATTGGTCTTATGCTGTAGATGGTTTCAAATAGCCCAGAAATCTGGAAAATATTTCCTTACAAACACCGCCTATTAAGGCGTTCATCATTAATTGCTCATAAAGTCACGAACTCGTTCCTTTCGCAGACTGGACCAATCTCGCTCAAGACGTCAAACGAACAACACGACGTCGTACCGAGCGTTGTGGATACGAAAAACGGGATAAGACCAAGATTTCGATCTTCCTGAAGAATTTCCTGACTCTTGTTCATTTCAAGTCAGTTGAACTAGTGAATGAACTGCGTGCAAACCTGTATGGCATTACGGAGAATGTCACCTCGTAGACGAAATTTCGAATCAGTTTCGAGAATTCGTAATTTCACCATACCGATCATGCACGCTTTCTCGACCGAAGAATGAGCCTAGATCATTGAGAAATCACAAAGCACATTTCAAGGATTTCTCTTAGTGTTTACTAAAAACTAGGTCCTCATTTGAAACATCCGAAGCAAAACAGTATGCGGATATCTTAACCCTTTTATTTACTGCCTTTTTCTTTTTAATGGCAAAGTATGTTGCCAAATATAACACGTATATAATGCTGAGATATTTGCAAAAGCCCAAATCGGCATTGAACCCGTCAACGGGATTGATCTAGGGAGCCCAAATCGACATTGAAGCCAGACGGGTGATTGCTGATGGCAAAAGATCAATAGAACTAGCTGAGAGACAGGCAAAACGAAGAACCCGGATGGTGTGGTGGTGAAGTGCGCTACTCCCCGGTAAGAACAATAGCGCGTTCGTTCCGCACTGTATACACCTGCGGTCCGGAGTTTTGCAAATATCTCAGCGTTATATACGAGTATGCGGATATGTTTGACGAATACAACACATGAAGTGTTTCCATCGCACGCGTGTTTCGCACTGGTTAAAGGTACCGTGCAGAGTACAATGTCGCATTCACATTACTTCATCGTCGGAAAATTGCTACTAAACTTCCTCGAGGATAAAAACAGTGACGTGATACATCACTAAGTCACCGCAAATCATTGTGTGTGGCAAATGTGAATTCAATCATCATTAGGATGCTCGTTAAAGGTCAGCACATAGCTCATTATTAAGAGACTCGACTACGCTAAACCCTTTATTCTTTGTAGTTTGCACCCCACTATTTGTGTTTTGTTCAATAACGGTAGAATTCAGACACGGAGTGAAGTGAGTGGTTAATGACAATGGAAATTCGTAGAAATTCGCTCCACAATCTATATAAGCAAGAGTTTGCTCTGACAGTGCACTAATGATACTTAATGAAACCTCTTACAGTTTCTCGCCCAATAATACGTTTTTAAACTTTGCTTACTTTCTCAGATATTTGCTTACTTTATTTTACATTACCCGATATCTCATATAGCGCTGATCCCAGCACTTACTGGATTCGATTCGGCTAGCTACTGAAGCTATGTGCTCATCAATGAAGAAAAGCTGAGTCTCAATACCTCCTTAGAGCAGTACGCAATCAACTTTGACAGTAGAAGACCTTCTTCAACGAATGGAAATCGTTGTCGGAGTTCTTTCATCACTTCGAAACGAGCTGCCAAAAGCGAAACGAAATTACACTCTGAAGCTGAACTCTGCAATGTTGGCGCAAATTTTTTATAATTTCAAAACATATGGTTGACAAAATAGCAATAATCAACTATTTCCGACCTGTTTTAGTCAGTAATTTTCTAGCTGATTATCAGAAATATTGATATGCTCGCCTGAATAACACCTCCGCCTCTTCCTCCTTCAGTGAGTGGTAAGAATTCCTTCGGAAGACCTATCATTTTGCCGAACCAGTTCAACATGATCATCTCCAGCTCAGTCATCGCCGGACAAGCAGCCTGAATATCTGCATTAAAGAGACAACAGTTCAATTTTCCTAGAAGGACACTATGAATCCGTCAGTGCTGAGTCATAGACTGTTTTCGGAGCATAAACATCGTAAGTGCAATTATGCCCTAAGTGAACTGATTGTCGTGTCAAACATGGTTTTCTACATGGGAAAGAAACGCCTATGATCCACCTAACATAATTTTATTATCAGTTTGTTCATTCCTAACCGTAGTTATAATGTGTCAAGACTATCGTCATCCACCATTCGAAGATAAATTCTAAAGGATAACGCGTTTGGCGTCGATCCATGCGCTCGGCATTCGACTTCATCAAGTATCATAGAGATACTTCAATGTTACTGTAAACCAACTTTTTTTTAAATCTAATATGAATTGTCATTACACTTTCTTTCATTGACAAACTAACATGACGCTGTCACCAAACATTTATTCGCTTGAAATTTATACTCCTTCGCCTTCTTTAGCCGATGATCTGAGTCGTAGTAGTTCATAGGCCTTCCTTCGTCGCACCGAGTCGAATCTTCTTCAGTGGAGCACTGCTCGAGTGAAAGAAATTCATTCGGCTATGCCTTTTTATACAGGATAGTTGTTGTGGAGGAAAGCACTAGAGGAGTAAATGCTTGGAAACAAGCTCGTGTGGACATATCAATGACAGAAACTATATGGTCGAAAGCATATCTTTGCTGCCAGTTTTTCGACCACACAAACAGAGGACGGTTTACCGCCTCATCGTGGCTAGGAGATGTTTCTGGGTGTCAGACTGCGATGTACAGTGGGGGCATTCTTTCCCCCAGCAGGGTCTCCCAAGTTGAGAAGGAGTCCGGCGTTTCCATCAGGAAACCCAGCTAGGTGTAAACAAATACTAGGATCCACCACCGTCCTGATATGAAACTAGTTGCATGGCAGCAAATCTCCCTGTGATCCACAAGGACGGCGACTGCCTGTTGTCGTAACGACCTGGGGCGGAATTTGGCCGGGCTGACTTCGGGATTCTGGGGAACCACAATGGCTTAACCAGGAAATCTCCGAAAAATGGTGATTATGCTAGAGCCTGCAAAACTAATGATTACGGCCGTTCAAGTGTCAAGTGGTCAATTAACGCATTGGCTACCTCGCTAAATCCAATGCTATGACAAATCCTCGAACGTTATGACATCTCATTTATCAGGTATGGTGCTTCTTAAATGATAATAAAAGATATCACAGCTAAACTTTTTTTTGGGAGCGTTTTGTGTTGGTTTAACTGTTTCTTTGCTAGTTTTAAATGTGTCCCTATTTTATCCTTTCGTGGTATATTACAACAAATCACTAAACGTACCCAGCTGAAACCAACACAACCCAGAGCGTCACTGAGCATGTCAGCTAATATAGATGGATAGGAGTTGCCTGCTGGAAAATACGCATGGAATCGCGGATGTTGCCAATGGGTGACACCGGGCATGATGAGCTTTTCAAAGTCTTCCATTACCGTCTCCCAAGGCTCAGGTCTTGTAGGTGCATCAGCCGGAATCTTGCTCTAAGTGTTCAACAAGTTATAATGTAATACTTATAAAGGTCTATCCACAAAAGGTATGACTTGCTTAAAAGCTAAAACCACCTGCAAATAGCCTGGTTCAATAGCTGGAACTACCCGTCGCTTATGAATTGTCTCCAGGTAGTCTGCAATGTAATCCACTGCCTCCTTACCGTATTTTCGGAACTCTTTGCGACTCATTCCTGTAAAGAAAGTAAGAATTGTTAGCCCTAGACAGTCAGGTAGAGTAGTTTCCAATTAAATAAGGCAATAGTTAACTTTTTATTTGCTGCCTATTACAATTTTCCACGGCAAGGTATTATGTGAAACACAAGCACAGTAGTACTGAGATATTTGCAAAACTCCAGACCACCTTTGTTTGCGGTGGGGATCGAACAAACTATTAACCTTTCCGGGAGCTAATGCGTTTACCACCACACTATGCAGGTGTTTCGTTTTACCGTTTTAACATTATAGTTTAAAGTAATAGTGTTTTAGGCTGACGAAGCCCTAGTTAAGGGAAGATTGTTGCTTTTTAGCACAACCGTATTACTTCCACCATTTTTTCCCTTACTTGACAACAATCAAGTTGCTTGATATCAAACGCACCTAGAAACCTAGAATTTCAATTGATGAACTTCTAAGCTCTTTCCTCCTATATTAAAGCTTAAAAAAGCTCCGGCGTTGGTCAGTCTCTGAGGGATTCGCCATGGATTCGAACTCACTAGGCTTCGCTTGGAAGTAATTGAATGCATATCTGGCCTTTACAATGACTCGCGGTGGCTTACCGATGCATCGAGCCAGTGCTGCTATCCTCCCAGACAAGTCTGGTACCAATTTGCCAACCCCGGAGGGATGGAGGGCGTACTGGGCCATGGCCGCACGGCTCAATTCCACGGTGTGTGTTGCAGGGCGCCTCCGATCAACGCAGTGGTCGGAGGCGCCCTGCAATACACGTGGGATCGATCCCCAAGTCCAAGACTCACCAAGCCTCCCATCCCCTCAAAGTCGCTGGGCTGATACCAGACTTGTCGGAGCTTAATCATTTAACTTTTTCTATACAAACAGATTTTACGAGCTGTCCTCTTTTGAGTGATACGAACCGCGTTATCAAGCATTTTATTCTTCGATGACTGACGTTTCAACAAATTTCCCTTCTTCAGAAGCCAAACCTTTACAACCTTGCTTAATATTCGATGAATTTTCTGCAGTTATAGAACACTCCTTTGTAAGCCTAACCAAATGTTTTCCTGTTAAGTATCGATCGTGTTCATTTTTGAATGTAAGACCACTCGTATGCGGTTCACATGAGATGAGGTTTAAAAACACCTTTCTGAAAGAAGTTACCCCATAAAGTAGTACTAAGAAGCAAACAATAAAAATCTAGGAGTGCAATAACTCTCTTGTCGTCCATTACACACGAAAAGGGCATTTGTTGTCAACATGTACAGAACAACAATAAGCGCTTACACAAGAGAACATGAAAGAAAGTGACTACATGCCTGGTACAGAAAACAGCCGTCTCGAATATCTACGAAGGAGCATCCATGGAGACTAGGTCTAAAGGAGAGCTAGGCTTCCTCATATCGGGTCAAATAAGCTCCGCTGTTAAGAGGTTCTTAAGTAATAGTGGTCCAGAGAATTCTGCCGCAGCCATTGAGCTTCAGACGAGCACTCGATTGCTTCAGGATCGCCCATACGACCGCCTATATAGAAAAGAAGATTTCGTTTCTTGCCTTAATGGCAACGCCAGAGATTGTACGAGTTCAGGATAAAATTTGCCTGATCTCTTTTACGACATGTGGTGATGATTATATTCACGAACGGATATAATACCTTAGGTCGGCATAGAAGAACACCTTGGTGGAAAGTTCGAAAACAAACAGAGTACTGCTCGAGTTACACACACGGCACAAGAACACAGAGGTAACGGTTTTGAAAAGACGGTCACGATCTTAGGGCAGGAATCAAAAAAGAATCTATGTGCAAAACCCTTGAGGCACATTGGAGAGGTTTCAGAAATCCGAAAACTAATCGAAAGCACGAATGGCTCACTATTACAAGTGACTTAACGCTTTATCCTAGGTTAATTTTTAGACCTGGATGAAGTTCTCCTGTCGTCGTATGTGGAGCACATACAGGTGTTCACAACATTTAGAAAGGAAGTGATGACTCACTTTTAACAGAAAAATATTCCGGTTTGGCTTATAAATTAAGTTTTTATTAGAACACATGATTATTCAGCGAAAAGAGGCGGCTATAGATATGCTCTGCAGAAGGCTAGTACAACGAAAGATTAGCCAACGAAGATCAAAATGCATGTTAGCAACCTCGTGTCAGCTCAAAAAGGACGATTCGGAAAAAGTTACAAGTAAGTTAATGCAAAAGTTAATCGAAAATTTCTCTTTCAAACTACATGAATAGCTATCTAGCAAAGCCAATTACGATCTCACTAATAACCACAACGTTGCTGAGCTATTTGAAAAACTCTGGGCTTTGTGCCTTGCCATTAAAAATTGCAGTAGGCAGAAAATAAAAGGTAAAACATTGTGATTTGAACTACAGCCTCAGCTTAACTGGGCTCAATGCCGACGTGGGCTCCCCAGATCAATCCCGTTCACGGGTGATTGCTGATGGCACGGATCGATAGAGCTAGCTGAGAGACAGGCGAAACAAAGGACCCGCATGGTGTGGTGGTGAACGCGTTACTCCCCGGAAAGGATAATATCGCGTTCGTTCCACACCATAGACACCTGCGGTCCAGAGTTTTGCAAATATCTCAGCAACGTTGTGGTTGTATTTCGCTTAGTGCGCTGCCATGAAAATTGTAGTAAGCAGAAAATAAAAGTAGAACATTGTGATCACACTAATAGTTTAGTGTAAAATTTATTTTAAGGCTAGGGTAATTTCGGATTGACTAATCCTTTGATGGAGAACTTCAACACAGTTCGCGATGAATACCAAACTTTTGATTAGTGGCGATATCACCAAAAACCTATGCCGTAGGTAGTGAAATTGCTATAGTACAATCTTCAAATGAGACCAATAAAGTTGATCGCTTCAAACGGAATGCCAAAGAAAGTGACAGACAGTTACTGTCCAATGCCGCAGCTCAAACATCAGTGAACAAGGAATCGAGAGTCATGTATATCGGTGATAATGAAACAATAAAAGATAGAATTCTTGGCGTTGACAAAGCTCTGAAGTATGACCCATGCATTTACCTTTAAAAAAACATCATTAGATGTTATTGAGTGCATATCCGGCTTGTGCAATGGCTCATAGTAAAGAACCGATGCATCCAATCAGTGCTGCTAACCTCTTAAACAAGTATAGTGAAAACTTGTCGACTCAGGAATGAAGGAGAGCTTGGTGAGTTCAGGTGAATCTTGAACGGTCATGTGTATACTGCAGTGGACTTCTAACCACTGCGCTAAACACGCCTGTGTATATCGTTGACATTGACATAAATTTCAAACAGTCCAATGAAATTATGGTATGATCTTTGTCGAAAATTCTACAGTTAAGTTGTAACACTCATTATGATTCTAGTGTGGAGTAAAACAATCCAATAAGGATGTAATATGGCAGAACCGAGTGCAGACTTTAACTATATCCGCTGGATTCAATTCATAATCCGTGGGGTTTTCGCATCTGTAACCCCATTAACAGCCATTTTCATCCTTGATGACTCCATTTTATTTAAAAAAAAATTTAATATAATCCTTCAAGCTACTGATCAGTTTCGTGGAACCTCGAGCGAAGAAAAACTCGTGGAAAATATCTCATATGAAAAGGACGATGCTATTGAGATGGCGCTGACGAGAATGTCTGGACCCCTCACTGTTGTGTACTGATCAATTTCGACAATTAAGGAGATAAGAAGACGCGAAAAGAATAGGAATAACACAGGTTATAAAAATAAAATATTATTTCAAGTATCGTCAGGTAAAGGTTGTCTGACATAGTGGCTTCTCAATCTGTTTAAAAATTATCGTTTATTGTCGAAAAAGCCAGAGCTGCCGTAATTAAATCGCGAAGGAGTTTACCATTTTATTCCACCTTCGCGAATTCAACAGTGGTCGCGCATCTGTTAAACCATTAATTTTAAAAAAAAGAATGGTCATTCAAAAAAAATGTCAGTAAATATTTTTTTAAAAAAGTCAATAGTATTACCTCTGTGATTCGGTGTTGGGTCTTCAATAAGAGATTCGTCGAGATCATTTGCCGGCATTGTAGGTGGTGAGGGAATTGTGCATGGAGAAGATGAATTTGATGACTGTCCTAAATGTGAACTTCAGAGTCGTAGAGTTTCACTATGATAAGCAAAGTTACAGACAAAAATAAATTGTAATTATTAAGCACTGGTTCTTCCCAACGGTCTACCGCCTCATCGTGACTGGAAGGTGATCCTGGGTGTCAGAGTGCGAGTTAGGGCGGAGATTTATCCATCCAACAAAGTCTCCCAAGCTGAGGTAAAGAGTCCGACGTTTCCATCAGAAAGCCTAGCTAAGAGTAATCCAATACCAGGATCCAGCACCGTCCAGGTATGAAACTAGTCGCTTGGTGGCAAATCTCCCTCTGATCCACAAAGGCCGGTGACTTCCTGTGGTCGTCAAGACTTGGGGCAGGCTTTGGCCAGGCTGACTTCGAGATTTCAGGAAATCACAATGGCTGGACCAGCAAAACTCCGAAAAAACGGAAATTATGCTGAGGCCTGCACAATTAGTGAAGGCGGGCCAACCAATTATCCACGTAAGTATACAAATGCTGGCATAGGTGTCACGGTAACAATTAACGAGTTATTGGTTTTCTATTTACCGAATATAATATTCGAAACATAAGATGTCTAGCTAAAAACGAAAATTCATATTTTCTTTTCAAACAAAATAATTTACACACTACTGGGTTCTTCACTAAGATAAAGATACCGTCGACGCCTCTGCCAAGTCGTTCCTAGAAGGGACGTCCTTCTTTTCATTAATGAAAACTTACGAGCGGGTGAAAGAGAGTCACGTATTCGTGTCGTCCTTTCATAACAATAAGTGTTAAGGTTTTTTAAGGCGTCCGACAAGACATGCACCATTTAGCACTGAGAAAGATGAAAAAATCTGAAACATTCACAAAAATGGAAGTAACAAAGACTAGTTTTTGCGGCGTATATTGTTCAAATCGATCAAATGAAAGAAAGAAAGACGTAATTGAAAGTTTTCTTTCGTTTTCCCACACAAACAATAACGAAGAAAAATATGACATGCTCATTGTTCCGTAATGACAAACAACTGACTGGGTGCAAATCAGTCACTGGTTCGACACCCACTCAAAAGCCTTCCAATCATCTTTTGAGGCTCATGGATTTACTGAGAACTCGTCAATGTCTTATCAACTTGTTTGGCTAAGGTGGTTTGTCAAAAGACATTCGTTTTCATTGCATTACTAAAAAATTAAAAATCATTGTTGCAGCACATCATTACAAATCAGACCCACCTCATGAATTGCATGCTTTAACACTTACAGTACAAATCCGAGTTTCCCACGAGTTTCGTAATTTTCTCATCACCAAGGTAGTTAAGAAGTTGATGACTTAGCAGACTGGTAAAAACACTTTATCTATCTAAGAATAAACACGACTTTCAGCAATGTCATTTTAAGTTTAAGGTCACGTTCACAAACTGATGTGATTTAAAATTTTAAAACTCCAAAGCTAATCCGGATTGCAGCTGTTGGGCTTAACAAAGCGACAACTTAACAACGAAAACAATCAGAAAATATACGATTTCTAAACTCACATAATCAGAATATTATTTTAGAAAGCTAAGCAAGTTTCGGGGCGGATAGCTTAGTAGTTGTGATATCCTCATCACGAGCACGGTGCTAGTTCGATTACGCTCCGGGGTGACTAAGCCTCTCATCCCTTCGTGGTTAGGAAATTGGTACCAGACTTGTCTGGGAAAAATCACTCTCTGTAATCTAATTGGGAACGCTCCAGCCCGACTATCTGAGGATTTCAGGGAGAAATGCTCGACCAGCAATCTACGACACATTCACGATGAAATTACCATACACAAGCAGTAACTGAAGTCACACGTAGAAGTTGGAAGAGCTTCGTGGACAATCGATACAAGGAAACGAATCGAATGTGAGGAGTGTTGCGATCCGCACAGTAGACGTGAAGACGGGTCATACGGAAACAAAAAAAACCTCTCTATTTACAGAAGAATTCTTTAAGTTCTGATCGTCTTCTATTCTACTAAAAAATTTGCTATACGTTGAGCTATATCGGTGTTAAACTGAAAGCGTTCATTATCCCTGCACCATACAAGTGGAATTTATGAAACAGAGTGCCTCCTACCTCTTCAAAGTTCTAAAGCTATTGCTTTCTGGAGGAACCCACGTGTGGTGCAGTGGTTGGAGGCGCCACTGCAACACACAAGTGGAATCGATCTCTTCGCCCATGGCCCACCAAACCTTCCATTCCTCCAGACTCAACAAATTGATACCAGACTTGCCTGGAAGGATAGCAGCACTGGCTCGCTACATCGGTAGGTCACTGTGAGCCATTGTAAATGCCAGACATGCATTCAATCACCTCCATCGATACTCAATGAAGTCGAGTGCATGGCGCATACCTCCTTTTTTCAAAGCCGCAATGGTGCTGACTATAAGCAAAGCTGTGAACCTCAGTTCAACTTCGAATTCTCGATTATCCTTTCCGGGACCTCACGTGTTACTCACTGCACCATCGAGGCCGTTGCTTCTTCTTTCCCTCGGCCGGTCCTTTTTATCTCAACGATGCTATCCACAGTCATCCGTCAACGGGAAAATAATCGAATGATTGAATACTTTACTTCTAAACGCTGCCTAAACATATCCGTGATAGGATGAAGACGATTTCTATTAGGCTGCTCAGAAAATAATAAGCGTTTTAATATATTTATTGTTTTAATGTATTTTTTACCAATAAAATATTCTTTGTGCCTCGCAATATTACACATCATTAGAAAACCGATTTTATGTCTTTTCTAACCGTGTCTTTGTATTTTGTCAAAAGGTAAACTTTTTTCTATCAGTTTTGAGCTTCGCCATTTTAGACGTTAAAAATGAATTGTCGTCAAGTTTTCTTTTATGACTTCAAACTAAGCCGTAGTGCAGCAGCGACGGCTCGAAACATTAATGAACTTTGAAGTACAGGCAGCGTTGGTGAATCAACAGTTCGAACGTGGTTCTAAGAATTCCGGTCTGGTGATTTTTACCTCGAAGATATGGAAGGTCGAGTACGTCCCAGTGAACTTAACTTCGGCGAGTTGAAGGCACTAGTGGAAGCAAACACGCGCACAACTGTTCGAGACTTGCAGAACAGCTTGGCGTAAGCGCAGAAACAATTTCCACTCACTTGAATCGGATAGGAAAGATAAGAAAAACTCGACAAGTGGGGGCTGAGCGAATTAAACGACAATGAAAGAAATCGCCGTTTTGAAGTGTCGTCTGCTCCTATTCCGCACAACAAAAAAAAACTCTTATCTTGATCGAATTATGACGTACGACGAGAAATGGATTCTGTACGACAATCGGCGACGTTCAACGCAATGGATGGATTGTGATCAGGCTCCACACTTCCCAAGACATACGTTGCACTATAAAGGCTAGGGTGACTGTTTGGTGGTCTCTGCAGCACAGCCAGGCGGATTCATCACAGCTTTTCGAATTCGTGCGAAACGATTACAGCAGAGAACTATTGACGGCAAATCGAAGAAATGCGCCGTAAACTCCAACAACAACGACTGAGATTAGTCAATAGAATAGGACAAATCTTTCTCCCCGGCCTCACGTTGTGAAACCAGCGCTGCAGAAGTTGAGCAAGTTGGGCTACGAAACTTTACCTCATGCACCATATTCAAGTGACTTCTCGCCTACGGACTGTCACTTGTTCAAGTACCTCAACAACTTCCTGCGCGAGAAGCGCTTCACCAAACACGATAACGAACGATGCCTTCAACGAATTCACCGCTTTCAAAACTCTAGAATTTTGGAAAACTGGAATAACTAAAGTTGTTTCTCGTCGGCAAAAATGTGTAAATTCAAATGTTTTCTATTATGATCAATAAAGTTTTGTTTGAAGCAAGTGGTGACATTTTAAACAGATAATAGTAATAGTAATAATAATAATAATAATAATAATAAACAGGATAGTTAAAAAGCCCACTTATTTCTGAGCGGTTTAAAACAATATTTGAGAGTACGCAAAGATGAAATGAGGCTACGAAATATCGAAAGTCAAAATAACTCGAAGGACCGACTTTCTATAAACCTCGGCATGGATAGCTGATATATTTATTTATATGAACTTATAAATTGATCTTCTTAAGCTGACGCGAGGTTGGTACAGGTCTTCGTTGTCGTTGCTGTTGGTGTTGTTTGTCGATGGCTGACGTTTCGGCAACTTGGCCTCCCTCAGATTTTACGAGTGGGACAGAGTCAGAAGGTCAGTTTATAAGATCATATAAGTAAATATATCGGAAATCAATAATTAATCAGTAGAAACTGACAAAATACTTAGAATTTTCTAAGCTGTGAGAAAATTTTTGCGTCAAGCTATAGAAAAGAAGTGAAGAACCTAAAAATATGGTGGATTACGTGAATTGTTGAGGGCTGCAGTGAAGTGAATGGGAAGCTGCAAATGACAGGCAATTAAGTTGAAGTGATTTGTTTGATGTTCATCGAGTCATCCGCCATTTGCAGATGATCATCACTTCAGGCCGAATACTCAAAACATCGTGTCATCGTTCTCGACTATGTTGAAGATGAAATTCCTTCTCCTTCCCCGCTTGACAATCACTCGAGACGGAGACGAATTCGTGAATTCGAAACGAGCAACATGAGAAAACACATGAATCCCGTGAAAAACTGGAAGACGAAAATTTACCGAAAACGGCTCACAAGAAGCAAAATGGGAGGATAACAGGAGTTAGAAGACGAGTAAGTAGAGAGGTGATGAACGATGTGTCGACAGTCGGCGGAATAATGTCCAAACTAGTGGCTGTGACGAATGGATTAACGGAGATCACCTTCTGTGATACCGGCCAATCTTCAGAAAAATTCAATAAAGTGATCTTGATCATAGATTTCAGCACTTGAAAATCTTTCGTTCCATCCCAGAGTTGTTCACAAGTCTCTATTTACGTGGTTTTTCGCTCGAACAACGATGCCATTAGAAGAAACCATACTTGCAACGCCTTCATTCGTCTCATGAAGTGTAGCTTGTAGCTTCGAGTGTAACAATGTTTGTGGTTCCAGTACTTTCATTCATATTCTATCCATTCTAGGACTTAGCCGTACTAAAAGCCAATGCCAATTGTGAAATTGTCAAAACAACCACGTCTAGTCTCATCGTTCGGCACAAAATGAGTTTTTTCTTACGGTACATCCAAAACACTGTGAGGGTTTCAAAAATACTCATGCGCGTGACATGTGATGTTCATAGAATATTCCAGAAATATGATGATTATTCGTCGTTTTAACTCGGATTTTCGTGGAAATTGATGTCCAGCTTGTAATCCCGCTTTCTTTGCATATGCTCTAGCAAAGGTTTCTCTGTGTTCATATGCACTATATGGACTTTACTTCTGTATGGTTGAATCATAAAGATTTTGATCACTTCTTAATTAGTTTCTACTCTTATGTGAAATATAGCTATAATGATGCCGAGATATTTGCAAAACTTCGGACTGCAGGTGTCTGCGGTGAGAACCGAACTCGCTAGCACACTTTAAAGGGACCAACGCGTTTGCCACCACGCCATACTGGCCCTTTGTTTCGCCATCCTTTCAGCCGTGTTACAACCTATAGGTGCTATCAGCATTGATGCGGCAACGGGATTGATCTGGGGAGCACAATTTGCCACTGAACCCAGTTGAGCTGAAGCCGCAGTATAAATCACAATATAATTCTCTTATTATTTATTTACTACCTACTGTTTTTTAATGGTAGGGTATTTTGAGAAATATAACTTTAATGATGCTGAAATATTTCTGGAAATGCGAACCACACGTGTTTGCAGTCCGGAGTTTTAGAAATATTTCAACATCATGGTGGGTGGTCATAAAAATTGTATTTTTGGCAATTCTTAGAAGCTAGAGCTTGGCATATCAAGACATCAATTTCGTCTAATCCACTTTGACAAATTCAAACTTGGAAGTTAGCAGCCCAAATGATTTCAAACAACTGTGTTGTGTGGGACCACGTAAGTGTTAATAAAACGACAGTTCAGTTTTGGTTCTAGAGATTTCATCATTGCGAACTAGACGGTGCTAATAAAGATGCTCGCAATGTTCTGCCGCAAATCACGATGGTGAATTGACGACTTTGATGGGATGGAATACATGCACAACTCTTCAAGAACCTGCAGAAAAACTCTGTACAAGCATCTCAACTGTTTCGGAACATTTGAAGAAAGTTGGAAAGTCGAAGAAGGTCTGCAATTGGATCCCGTACTAATTCAACGACAATCAAAGTCATCGTTTTAAGGTATCACCGGCGCTTCCTCTGTGCTACCACAAGGACCCGTTTCTAGACTTCATTTGATGTGCGACGAGAAGTGGATCCTGTACGACAATTGGTCATGATCGCTTTTTGGTCGCACACCGTTGGAGCTCAACAGCACTTCTCAGAGCCGAAATTGCCCTGGAAGCAGGTCGCGCTAACCGTTTCGTATTTTCTTATGACTTAATCCATTAAAACTCTCTGGATCCCGCTTACGACGGAAGAGTGCGTTCTTGAAATAGACGAAATATACCGAGATCCGACCTGCGACCTGCACTGATCACCAGAAATGCACCAAACGTTCACGATAAGGTATGGCAACACGCACTAATTCTATAAAAAGAAAAAGAGCTAGGATAAGGAACTCTCGCCTACCCACTACTAATGCACTTTAGAAAAACAGGATGGAATCTGAGGAATCTGACAAAGAACTTAATACAGATATTACTGATGTTCTTTAAAGCGATGAACATTTTTCTGATAAATCTGTTCCTTTTACCGATTACTCATCAAAATTTGTACTTTTTTCTAATCTAACCCTATCGCATAGCTTATATTTCACCGTCGTAAATAGTTTTCCGAGTTTTAATGATTTGGAATTTTTATTTTGAGCTTCTTTCACTCCACTGTACAATGATCTTAACAAATAGCTTCATTACCAAAATAAGAATTTTTCAGTAGAAGATTCCTGTTCGTATCACTGAACATATACCCTTAATCTTCTCGTCATGTTCGATCCCCACTGATATCTTCTTCGTGTTTCCATTCCCTAAACAGCATCACTCAGACTGAGTGAGCGTTCAACGCTTCCATTCAGAAGCCGAACTAAAAGCAAAGCTATTCCACAGTACAGCACACCAGGCCTGAAAGGCCCCGTGCCAAAAAATCTGTATAAATCTCTTTGGGTCTCCCACTTGAACAGAATCTAAGCAGAGTTTTCACATAAATGAGGGTCACCCAAGTTGCAAAAGGCACTCAGTATTTTCTTGGAACCCTAACTATAAGAGCGGTCACACCGCATATTATATAGATGACTCAAAATGTAATTATCTTACCCATTGACCGCTAGCGGGCCCAAAAGAATGGGAGGAAGGAAAAATGGAGCTAAGAAGCAAGGCCGGGACGAAGGATTGAATCGATGATAATGCGTGCTTTAGAGAGCACCTCTAAGCACTCCATTATTCGACAAAAAATGTACATTTAAGAAAATTTTATATAAACTTTACATTAACACGACACAATGATTAAATGTCATCTTCGATCCTGAACTGTAGGTAGTCATCATCCGCCTCCAAGCTTAGAGGATTGTTGAACAGTTGCAGATCATCATTGTCGGATGCACATCTTGACATGAGCCGAATCACGAGGACGGCTGTTGCAAAGTGACCTATAAAACTAATTTTATGAAAAACAAAGGATAAAGCATTCAGCGTTGATCAACCCTGAGAGATGCGCTATGCATCTGACTCCAAATCGTTAGAGGACCTGAATGCACATTCGGCCTATAGAATGACTTGCGGTGACTTACAGATGTGTCAAGTTGGCCTCATTATTCTCCCAAACATGTTTTTTACCCGTTAATTGATGACTTCTAAGGAATAGAAGGCTTGTCAAGTTCAGGACGCATGACGAATCAGACTCCAAAGCAGTGTCTTGCATGGCAGCACTGACCACTGCACTACACGCTCTCCATGAAAGTATGTTTATTCAACGTAAACTACTTTAACTTTATCAAGCAGAATAAGTGAGGTTTTTTCAATCTGAGGCAAAAACGTTTTAAAAATTTTTAAACAGTGCACCTTTTACAAAAATAGTTTGTTCGTTTTGCTCTATTAAATTTTTATTCAGTAATAATTTGAGTGACTATTTTGTTCCCTTTTCAAGAGCATCGAGGATGTGGTGAAGAAAACAAAGAACACCCGACTCCGTATCCACCTTTTCGATTCAACGGTACTTTTTGCCTCACGCATGCGTCAGAAACCTGGTGGCTGCGTAAGCAGGGTGAAAAACAGCGTTGTTGAACGCGCAGTCGAAAGGACGATTTTAGGACTATCCCGTGTCACACAACTAACTGCAGAGATTCGAAGCTCCGACCTGCGTTAACGATCAAAAGCCAAAGATACCGTTCTGCACTCCAAACAGTCTAAGATAAGGTGGACCAGACACGTACTGCGTATGAACTCCAACCGATGAACAAGAGACGTTGGCAACTGGGTTCATCGGGATGTCAAACGTGCTGCAGGAAGACCACCGACCTGATGGTCAAAGTTCTTTACGAAAAGTTTAGAAGAAAGGTATGATGCTCAACGAGTCTCTAGAGCGAGCAGAACTCACTGGGCTACTCTTGCATGCGACAGAGAAAAATGGAAGATTCAGTGGCGCCCATTCGAGTCAGTCGTCGAATAACGGGACCACAGGTGATACAGGTGATTTTGTTCGCCAGAGAAAATAGAAAAGAGAAGGTTTCTCAGAAAACAATTATTGGCATTATTTGAACTCTAGGTTTTCTCTGTCATCATTTTTCTGTTTGCTTCTATTATCGAATACCGTAATCCTAAATACCTTTGCTTATTTGCTATGTTTCTCCGCTTTCACTCCTTATTTTTACTTTTTCAACCTCGCTACTTTTAGTATTCTATTCGGTTTTTCTATCATCCGTTCACAGAAATTTTAGTTTCCAGCTTCATTATTACTTTTCTAGCTCCGAGACTACTTTTAGAAAGGCCGTTACACATGCATGAAATTCGCTCCTGAATCTGGAAATTCTAATTTTAAACATTTATTTTCTACAACTCTTTAAATTTTTTCTCTCAATTTTACTTTTTGTTTTCTTCCTTTTATAATTTTTATAGCAGGGTATTAAGCGAAATACAACCACAACGTTGCTGAGATATTTGCAAAACTCCTAACCGTAGATGTCTCCGGCGTGGACCGAACGCGCTATTGTCCTTTCCGGGAAGTAACGCGTTCACCACTACATCATACGGATCCTTCGTTTCGCCTATCTTTCAGCCGTCAGCAGTCACCACAGCACTGACCGATAGAACTAGCTGAGAGACAGACGAAACGAAGGACCCGCGTGGTGTGGTGGTGAACGCGTTACTCCCCGGAAAGGACAATAGCGCGCTCGTTCTCCACCGTAGACATCTGCGGTTAGGAGTTTTGCAAATATCTCAGCAATATTGGAATTTCTTCTGTTATTTCATAAAAGCTAAATGCACTATAATATCGAATTATCTATTTTAAAATGCGTACATAGAAAGCTCAAGTGAATTTGTGTAAGTAGTCTTGCCTGCTCTTGGTCTACTTACTTTGTTTCCTAATTCACCACTCCCATTAATAAAGTAAAGCATTCCGCAAAACTGATAAAAGACGAAAATTGAGAAGCAAGCGACACCGGTTTCTGAATACTACAGAAAAAACAGTGCAGGCACCACGCTGCTTGGTCACGCAGTGCAATACACACGAGGCCGATGGTTCGACTTCCAGTTCATACCTAGCCTAATTCTTCATCCTCCTGGCGTTGGTGAATTTGTGCCAGAACTGCCTGTGAGAATATGAGCACTGATTCTGTGCCTTCGTACGTCTCCACAAACTATTGCAAAGTCAAAATATGCATTTAAATACGTCTACGATAGTTGACGGAAATCCAATGTATGCCGCACCCATCAAGAACTGATGAAAGCCGAACACTTTATTGTTTATTCTATTGCAGACAAGAGTTTTGAAATTGGTTTTGATGCTGAACGTACTGATTAAAGCGAAGAAGTCTGCTGTTTGATGGACTTTCCAGGCTACTGATAGATCATCGCCAGTTCCACGATAGTCAAGTTGTGTGAGAATTTCAACGAATCTCACCACTGACATTATTAAGAGTGTAGTTTGAAGCATTGGCTTCGATGTTAGGTTTTCAGCGCATAGAATCTGCAAATAAAGTAGCTGAAGATCAGACTGCTTTGTTAACAACACAGTTATGACAAAGTCATATTCAACTGTTGATTGAAAGAAAAGTTGATAGACTGGAAAAGCAACACTACCAAGGCATTTTCCGCCGAAAAACCCTACTTTTGTAAATCTTTACAGTGTTTGAATTTATCTCTGGACACGTAGAAACAAAAAAATTTCCTGCGTACAACACAGTTTTCGGTGGAAGAAGTAAAAAGTGTAAAAAGTACGGAAAGAAAGCTAGAAAGACTAGGTTGCAAGCCAAAGCATCCTTCACTAAAGATTAAATGTCATGTGTGTCTTAAGATATTCGATGATCACTCGAACGGTTTGTGAAAGAAAAAGGTAATAAGTAGATAGGAACTAAAAAAGGTATCAAGCGATGCCAGTTAAACCGGAAATTCTAAAGAAACAGTATAAAGGGAAAAATCTATGTCGTTGAAATTAGGTCATTGGAATAAAACAAAAATCGTCGCAATAATGCAAATTTGGATTAAATATTGCAAAAGATACCTGGTATAGAGGAAAGACGACCAGTGCTATGGCTAAAGCCAAATGATAAAGCGCCATGTAGACGATGACCATTGGATGAAGGATCGATGAAGTTCTAAGGAATACCACAGCTTGAACCAACACCGCCAAACCGCAAAACGCCATCAGAACGCCCAACCACTAACGGAAAACAATTCTTAGAAATGATATCAACATACAACCACAACGTTGCTGAGATATTTGCAAAACTCTGGACCGCAGGTGTCTATGGTGGGAACGAACGCGCTATTGTCCTTTCCGTGGAGTAACGCGTTCACCACCACACCATGCGGGTCCTTTGTTTCGCCTGTCTCTCAGCTATTTCTATCGATCTTTGCCACAGCAATCACCCGTCAGCGGGAAGATCGATAGAAATAGCTGAGAGACAGGCGAAACAAAGGACCCGCATGGTGTGGTGGTGAACGCGTTACTCCACGGAAAGGACAATAGCGCGTTCGTTCCCACCATAGACACCTGCGGTCCAGAGTTTTGCAAATATCTCAGCAACGTTGTGGTTGTATTTCGCTTAGTACCCTGCCGCGAAATCATAGTAGGCAGAAAATAAAAAGGTATAACGTTGTGATATCAACATAATTTTCTTAGCATTGTGTATTTTACATGCCCTATCATCGCAGCAGTACCAGGATCCACCACCGTTCTGGTGTCGAAGTCGCATGGTGGTAAATCTCCCTCTGATCCACAAGGTCTGCGACTGCTTGTGGTGGAAAGACCTGGTGCAGGCTTTAGCCAAGCCGATCTCGGGACTCCAGGGAATCATTATGACTTAACCAGCAAGTCTCCTCTTACATTCTATTCGTTTTCCTCGCATTCTTCGTCCACAATTGTCTTCGTAAACTTCACATGCTGATTTGGCTTTATTTGAGGATTTCGTATTCTTGGGCAAGTCCCGTAGAATCGAGTAGACCTTCCTTGTAACCTTAAAGATAGCCGAGCTAATCCGTTCCCACTTAAATTGTAGGATTTGAAGGGCACTGAGTAGAGTCGAACCAGTATCTTCCTGATGAATTGTTTCACTAACCACTCCACTACCCCACGAATAAAAAGTGTATTGGGGCCCGCAGTATCGGTGAAGACCGGTTATCTAAGTATCCGAGCAAGTACGTAATAATACTGTAAGTGATAATATTGTATGAAACACCAAAATAATTATTGACGGTTTACCCGAATCGGTGACTCCAGTCGTCGATTCGTGTTCTCGGTTACGGTGACCATATAGGAGATTCGGGTTGAAATCACGCAAAAAGCACCGGATAGAATTAACACCATAAAATCCAACAGTACTTGAATAAAGTGTATAATTGCTTCTAAAATTAACCATTAGGATTCGAACACAGTAGAATGCGCGAAATGACAGAATGGATCGAACCGCTTTTGGTGACCGAAAGATGGCATCGGCCTACTCCTGGAAAGAAGAGCTCGCAAAGGTGATCACCAAAATAGCCATTTGATGAGAGATATAGGTAGGAAATCATTTGGAATACTGTTGAATTCAACGAGTACAGTGATAGACAAATGCTGAAATAACTTCTGTTTAACAGTTGTTCTTTCCATGAATTCATTTAGCGCTCAGGGAACCTTGAAAATGTTACTATCAGGTTGAATGTAGTGATCAAACGATATTTATGGCTTATCCTAAAGAAAGGGTCGCGTGCGGCGCAGTAGTTGGAGGCGCCACTGCGACACACACGTGGAATCGATTCACGCGCCCATGGCCGACCAAGCTTTCCATCCCTCCGGGGTCGGCAAATTGGTACCAGACTTATCAGCACTATCAGCACTGGCTCGATACATCGGTAGGCCACCGCGAGTCATTGTAAAGGCCAGATATGCATTCAGTCACCTCCAATAATACTTAATGAAATCGAATGCAAATGCATGGTGCATCCCTCCGGGATTGATCAACGCCGAAAGCTTCTAGAGCTGCCACGACCGACTTTCTATTAACCTCGGCATTGATCAAGTGATTTTATTCGTATTTTTTTGAGCAAACGCGAGGTGTTATTGTTCAAAGTGATTGAAATCTTGGTTTGGGGTTTCTTTGTTTGGTTATGGAGACGTCTGGCCGAGTGAGTTGCTATCAACTTGACCTTTCCAGGCTCTGAAGAATGCGAAATTCGCCGAAACGTCAGCTTAATCGTGAACAAAGAACAATAACACCTCGCGTTTGCTCAAAAAAATACGAACAAAATCGCTTCTAGAGCTTTTCATCCTAATGAAGGCAAAGAAGAGTTTTGTTGCCTTCAAAACTGGGTCTCAAAAAACATATTAAAATCTAATGGCTTACGACCAATCAACATGATGTCAGCCAATCCCGCTGTGAAACAAAAGCATTGATATTTTCAACAAAGAAGCGATCATTAAAAGCCTTGTAGTATTAAAATCTCAAAACTATAAAGTAGGAATGGAATTGGTATCGATTTGATTATCTTCAGAAATCGAATGAATAGTTGAGGTAATGAGAGAAATCTACCATGCAGGCAAAGCTATAGAGGTGAATCTTGGCGTCGATGCGGCCATGGCAAAAATGGCGGTGAGCGCAGTAAGGAACGGTGTCTTCTGTTCCGCTCCATGAAAAAGCCTTAAAAAACGCCGGATTATTTGCGAATGTCAACTAAAAAATCCGTCAGGAACATCTGGAACGAACCTGTAGAACAGTTTCTTCCAAATCGTATAGACATCGAGAGAGACGGTACTACATGACAGTATAAGAAACAATGCAGCCATTATGACCAGGCAATTTCTTGTCTTTTCATCCACATTCAGTCTTCTCCATGGGGAATGCTGAAGACATCTTTGATCTAGAAGAAATGTCCACAATGGCATCGGTGTTTCAGAACTATAGTTATTTTAAGCTTAACCTTCCTAGTTGGAAACCGATAGAATCTATTCATAAGTAAATGATTCTCCATTCTGGAAATTGAGTTCAAATGAGAAATTTCGAGTGAGTCGCGAGGTTATACGATCCGTCAAAATCTGGCGGATAGAAGACTAAATATGGAATATAAATGGAATATACATCTCTCAAAACACATCTGATCTCAAGAGATGTGCTCTTATCCTCGCTTCAATAACTATCAGAAACCGTTCATTACTTAATACTTACGCGGATGGCGCACGCGGAGGGAAAATAGGTGGAATTGCACATGTCAAGTAACAAAAATAGGAACATAAACGTGTTCAACTAAAATTTTACTACACTAGCCGACCAAGACCAAGCAATCTATCAATCCGTATTCACGAGTCCTTTTCTAGTCTAAGCTCAAATTCTTTCTAGATCTTCACCGAATATTCGAATATTAGCGAGCACACATACCATGGATATTAACTCGACGAGTGTTGCGGTGACAACACCAACGTTACAAAGTGAGATCAGAACGCTAGCCGTTTGCCAGTATGTAGATGACGTAGTGCCACCGAATGAGAGACGAGATGATGCCCACCACCTGTAAAATAATGCGCCTCTGGTGGTACAACATGCTAAAAAGTGCTAAAACTAAAGAATGAAGAACAAAGCGTGCGATATTGATCAATTCCTTAAGGACGCCACATGCCGTTGACTTCATTCACAGCATCATAATGGTTAATGGGGGCATATTTGACCGATACATTGATCTGATGTGGACTACTGATGTGCTAAGTCAATGGTTCTTAGTCTCTCCGACGAGTCCGTTACTGGAAGAATGGAAGTATTTTTTGTTCGCGGTGAAGTATGTAACCAGCGATTGTTAGTGTGATACAATCACAGTGATGCTGAGATATTTGCAAAACTCCGAATGAGCTCTGACCATTCCGGGGCTAACGCTTTCACCACCACAACATGTAGGTTCATCGTTTCGCTTTTCTCTCAGCTAGTTTTCTTAGATTGTTAGTGCGTTGCACAGAGCCTTTAACAACGGCGCTACACAAGCCGACACTGGTGAGTATCTGCATTTGTCCAAATGTAACTGAGAAAATGAATGATGACATAATTATTTCAGAAAAAAGATTCATCGTGCTTCCTAGTTTAGTAGTAGCACAAGACTTCTTCAGATGATGAATCTCTTGAAAGTTTTCTATGCTGTTCATAACCTATACGTTCCTGCAATTGTCTTCCACTTTAGGCAAACATATAACACAGAGGAAGGAGAAAAATCGAGAGCACAGTTCTCATTCTTTGAGACAGCTTGTTAATTTCTTGTGATATTCAAATGTGGCTCACTTACTGACATTCGTTGAGAGTCTCCGGTACACAGGAGATGTGGTTTCCGTAGAGGGAAAGCCACCCATCTATGTTTGTACTTCAATGCACTGTGTGCTCTTGGGGACAAGATTTTTCACCAGTTTGGTCACAGTCATAGTGCACTGCTTCTCAAACTTTTTTGAGCACCGTAAAAGCTTCATTAAAACCTCTCGAAAAAAGTGAAACATTGTCGACTCCTTTTCTGAGTTTCTGACAAAATCGTGTTAAAGCGCTTCTATATTGTTGCCACAGGAAGCATCCAAATTTTTTAGACCGCTAATAGGCAAAATCGTTTTCAAGTAGTTTCTTTTTAGAACGGCAGCGATTTCCTGCGTAGATTTATTTATCCAAGCTTTAGGATGGTAACTGCACAGCCGCTCACAGCATTGAGGATCCCTCGGGTGAATAACCTCCCACCTTATTAGAAAGTATAGTGTTTCCGGAATGTAAATAGGTGTCAGTGACCAAAAAGCGAAGGCTCTAAGTTTCAAAAGTAAATATATAAAAACTAGAAAACACCTGTAATCCAGCCACAGGTAAAAAAGAGACGGCATAAGTGTTGCAGCCGACAAAGAAAAACAAAGATCTCGAAGAAGCTTGCTTCCTCTTGACGATATTACGCAAATAATACCTAGAAAATATAATAAACGATTCCGTGACATTCGTAATATTACTGTGATCAATACTGTGCTTTTTTGCTATGTGGTCCAAGCAAAAGTATTGTTTACTTCATCAATGAGCGAGCAGTGGTACCTAGTGATAACTGAGTGCAAATCCAGGCTGGTTCGTCCAGTGTATAGTTGGCGAACAAAGCTCGAATTCGATCTTGGCCTGTTAGGTTAAAGAATTCGCAGAAATAGCAGACGAAACGAATAACTCCAAGAACCACCAATGCTGTTCCCATACCCAATAGTTTCACCGACGGTAACTAGAAGTAATTGCGATCCGTTTCCAATTAAAGGACGTAAAAGCAAAATGAAACACGAAAATTTATGGAAGTATTTCGTTTATTTGTCCAGGTTTGTTTTCCTTTACAACATTTCACAAAATGCTACTTTAAGTTCACATTTCCGAAAGGAGAAGTGTGAAAAATGAAAGGGCAAACATTCTGTTGTGGACTAACAGTATCTTTCTGGTTATTGTTTGTTCGTAGACCTAACTCACACCATTAAGTAAAAGTTTTTGTGACAATGATAATAGACCGTTATCTCTTGTGGGCATAAAAAATCTAAGTGGTGGCATTTAACATCTACGTAGAAATGGACTCATAAAAATTTGTGACGACCACATAAATGCTCTTTTTAGATCTGAAATCTCTGTCTGCAGTGGGACAAGTGTGTTCTTCATGCTTGACATAGTAAGCATGAAATAAGGAAAATGATTGCATGTGTGTATAAACGAATTAGTATGTGCATGTATGCATTCAACATATGTAATAACATTAATAATAATAACACATAACATATATACACGCGTTTTTTTGTGGACCTGTATATAAATATATACATATATACATATATATATATATATATATATATATACATGCATATCATTAGGTGTGTTAAGTACATTCCTTAGTCGTCACGTCATGAAAGAGCGGCAAATAATTGTAGAACATATAAAGGTGGGTATAGGTTTGCCGCATGTTCATGCGTATGTGTGTGTGTGTATTTGTATATATACATATATGTGTATGTGTGTGTGACGGTGTGTGTGTATCGGTGTGTTTATGTTGGTGTGCGTGTGTGTCGGTTTGCGTGTGTGTGTATGTGTGTGAATGTGTGTGCGTCTTGTTAAATAGAGGTTTTAGAGTTCAAAAAAGCAAAAACCTGTAATGGTCGCTGTTTTTGTCGATATAGAAGAACTAACTCACTTGGGTGCACGTGTTTGTAGACGAGTAAAAATGATGATACATTATATAAACTGCGAGTACGAAAGCAATCAAGCACAGGAATGAGTCGATACCGCTGTAGGTCTTCACGTAGCCGATCTGCATAATGTCAGTTAACGACGCTATTTTTCTCTTTTCTCATTTTACTCACTACCGCCTAATTTTTTACTCCAGTTTCTAACAATGAAAACACTAGTGAATGTTCCAGAACTGGAAGCAATTTCAATATTTAAGCCAATTAAAAACTTTCCAAGTGACAGAAAAATGAATTCTTTTCAAGTTTTTTTTTCTATTTACATTCCTTGGACAGACGCGGGTACTAAAGTCGCATGCGGCGCAGTGGTCGGAAGCGCCCTGCAACACACAAGTGGAATCGACCCCAGCGCCCATAGTCCACCAAGCCATACATCCCTCCGAGGTTGGCAAATTGGTACCAGACTTGTCTGGGAGGATAGCAGCACTGGCTTCATACATCGCCTGGCCACCGCGAGTCATTGTAAACGCTAGATGTGCATTCAATCACCTCCAAACGATGCTTAATGAAGTCGAATGCATGGCGCATCCTTCAGGGATGGATCAACGTCGAGAGCTTTACCCTTTATCCTTTTTACGTTTCTTGGTAATAAACTTGAAGGCGGAGCCCGACTGGAACACTTGAGAAAATAAATGTTGTTTACTTCAATGCCGCATTGATAGAGGAAAAAACACAGCTGCCTAAACACTGTTATCTAAACCAATTTCTTTAGTAGAGAGCAATCTATATAAAAAGTTTTATTTTCCGTGGAAAAAACCCTTACGAAATCATTCTCTACTATGACTCCCTGCCTGTATGCCATTGAGAACCTACCGTAGTCGGTGAAGGAAGATCAGTGCTATTAAGTGCTGAAAGAATTCGAAGATTCCATAAATCAGCAACAGCAGCGATGACTGTGATGCACAAGCAAAGTAGCTGCATCATTAATGAAAACACTTCGGCAAACAGAGAATTCTGAAGAGAACCGATAAATGGATTTCATAAGTTTATACATGTAGACCTAATGTTTACCATCTGGTCATCGATCGTTGTAAATACCTTCATGAAAAGTAAAGGAGAACTTCATTGGCTTTTGTAGGTGGCGGTATAGCGAAAAAAATATGTTGGAGCATGCAATTTTCTTATTTCCACGGTCATAATGGAGAAACAATGAACAGAGGGATTGGTCACAATGAAAGACACACTTTGAACGCTGAAGTTTTTATTCTACTAAGGGACCACTCATTAAATTTTTGACTTATGCTTGTTCACTTGAACACCTAAGTTTTTCACAAAGAGCATTTTTTGCTCGCAAGCACTTTGTTCTGTCTAATGTATGTTCTTTTGTCAACGCGAAGCAGATAGAAATTAGTTCTATTCAAAGTCTATAAAACTGGTCGCAAAGGTTCATTTTAATTTCGATTTAAGCCTCACACATAATCTTTATAAGAAAAGAGTAATGTAAGGCCTAGAGGGGCCTTACAAAAACACATTCTTAGTGACACATTTGATCAATCCAGCTCGTGGCAAAAACCATGTTCGCACCCTTTGAGGTGGGCTAATTCAGAGCAAACTTTATCTGGGAGGCTAACAGCACTAACTCTTGGTTGGCATTCTCAAGTCATTTTATAGGCGAAGTATGAATTCATTCTTCTTTACGATTCGCTAAGGAACCGATTACATGGCGTGCCCCTAAGGAATTGACTAAGGCCGAAGGCCTAAAGGTTTCATTCGCGGTGGCAGATTTTTAATTATGAAACGTATCATAGTATCGAATTTTTATTGTCTGTAAATGTATGAAACTGACAATCATAAGTAGTCTGGAAGCGCCAGCGAATAAGATGATGGTCGTAATCCAGTGGGTGTTAATGTACAACTCCAGATGGCTCGACTTTTCAGCATTCTGTAGAGAGGCCACCAACGCGTTCAAGAAACCAAGAAATCCAGCGACCAATTGCAGGACTGACGCTCGATCTACAGACATCTCCAAAAATATCTAGAAGATTTGCTTGGTGAAATAATAAATTTTTCAGAACATTACAATCAAATCGTTTCAATTGAGCCAACAAAACGATTAACACTTAGTAACACTAAAATTTTTAAATGGTATGGCTCAAGTGTAGCGACAAACATTCAGCAAGCCTATATTTGTCCATCTAAGGATGTCCCTCATATGAACGAATATTGAACCCGTTAGTCAGCAAGCTAAGTGGCGCCAGGTGGCGGATATGTGGTTAAGCACAGAACAAAAGCGACCACATACTTTATAAAGAGACGCAGACGGAGTCAAGCGATGGGTCCTGTATAATAACCGTTCGCAAACAAGCGACTGAGAAGCAACAGTTAAAAACATTGTATGAAAATGCTCTTCATGTCCCCTGAATGAGCGACTGAATGTGAACACTTCTATAGCTCTTTTTCAGCTCATCCTGAGCAAAGTTGGATCAAATTTGATGGAAGCGATCCAAACCCGTTAATTACATCCTATCTCGTTACCGAATTCTCTTTCTTCAAACCAACGCGCAGGATGCGGTTCGCGTGTAAAGCAGGCACACCCATACACGGCTTTAATATACGAGCGCTAGTAAGGTTTAAGTCAATCTAGTCCAGCAGAGACAACTAATCCGTTGTTTGAATCCGCTGGAGTCCCAGAGCGTTAAGGTTATTTGTTGATCTTGACCCCAATTTCACCAGCTAGCTGTGGAGTTTCACCTGTGAATGAGCCATCTAGACTGCCCAGTCCTGAGATCTCCCACACGACAGAGGCCCATTGACTAACCTCTCGCATATCAAATATCACCTCTATAGGCAAAAAAAGAAATCGTGAGTAATCGTGTTTTCAGGCAAGGTTTAAAACGTTATGTAGCAATCTGGTCCCTAATTGTTGACATTTTGTAATGAACTTTTGCAAACATAAAAGAAATGTTGAACCAAAAAGCGGTAATATTTGAGCATAAGCAACCAGTTTTAAAGGATAAATTTAAAGGAAAAATAGGTCACCAGTAAAAATTTGCAGAGCCCATTTTGTGCTTCAGAATAACATACTACACAGCCAAAGGCACATTAATCTCGGCCCAGTGGTTTACTATCTCGACTTGATTGATGGTGTTCAAATTGATGTTGAGCTAAAAGCAATAGCTCACTTCTTGATCTTAGTCAGACAAATTGAGGAGCTAATTTTTCTATACAAAACCCAGCTAAGAGTTGACCAATCGTCTTAAAAGGTGTTACAATCCTCTTAAAAGGAACCTAATCGCAAGCTAGTAGATTCCCAAATTCCCGAACAACTAAGCCCTTTTCCTCCCTTTCCTTCCCTTCCATTCCCAACCACTACGCGGGTCTCTTATTAAGACCCAGGTCTATCTCTCTCATGCGGCTCAGGAAAGAGAAGGAGAAAATTCCACGAGGAAAAACCATTCCCAACATGTGTATTTCTGACTAAGTGGAGAATGTATTGGGACTGGGACGATTCCTCGTGAAGGCGGACAAGTAACGTATTCAAGCAGATGAATAAAAAGACTTCTTAAAACAAGTAGCAATGCTTTGAAAACGACAAAATCTCTGCAATTTCACCAGATTTTGGTTGTAGAATATACTAAAGTTGATTTACGAGTCATGACGAGCCCTTACAAAAATTCGCAATCTATACCACCACTTGAGAAAATAAAAATAATGCCAATAACCGTTTTCTTTATGAAGCTACAAAAAAGTTACAAAAGGTTTATACGGCGGGTACTTTAAATGTAGAAGTGCTATGAAGTCGTCACCGAAGCCATTTCGACAAAAATAAACAACAACATAAATATATTAAATTTTAGTAGCGTCCTCGAAGCTGATGACTTGGGAAAATGCGGCATGAAGGAGACAGAATTATACGGAAATTATGATTTTTTTTCTCTTCTTTACTGCACTGCAATTTTACAGTTGGCGACGAGAATCCGATGAAGGAGGTGAGTTTACAACACTTCAGTCTCGAATTTCAAGTTGCCACTAGCAAAGC